TTTGGAGAGGAGGAGACCTCTGTGGATAATTCGGCTCCCGGTAGAAACCTCCTGAACCATGAACACTGAAGGAATCCTAACCGGGAGAAGCTGACTGCAATGACTGTTAATGGTGGTGAAGACAACAACTCCTCACAATTTTCTTACAGTGTAGATGCCAGAGACCCCCTAGTGGCAGAAATGATATAGTGAACGTTAAATGAATCGGTATCTGCAGCCTCAGACGCAGCCTTGTCTCGATGTGGGATTGTTATTTTTACTTAAGTCAAGGATCTGAATAGAGGAAAAGAGCAGAAGAGATAACATGGTGACATTCACTTTAACAGATTCTAAAAATAAGATCTGGCCCAGAGGAATCTGATCAGCTTTCAGATTTACAGAACGAAGCGGCTCGAGACCAGAGGCCGATTCTGTTCCACCCAGTTCTCATGACACCAGCAGTTCAAAGTCAGATTTCAGCTTTTATATTCCTTCTTCAGAGAAACTGGAGGGAGTTTATTGTTAATTATCCAATTCTATTTAGAACCAACTGTTTTGTGTTCAGGAATAAATAACCACACAAATATCCAGACAGAAAAGACTTCAGGAGCTTTGAGTCATGTGGCCTGAAAATAATTTAACCACAACCTAACTTCCCTTCAGCGGCAGAGGAAGTATTTAGATCCTTCACTGAAGTACTAACACCACAATGTAAAAATAGTCCTGCATTGAAAATGTCATGTAAGTACGAGCACTAGAGTTGTTCCATACCAGTATCTGAAATTCCTCCGATACAAAGATGTGTGTCAGCGTGTCTCTGCACTGATTCCAGGTCATTTATTATCCCCAGAACGGGACCAGAGTCCTGACCCGACCTACTACAACTGTGAGAGGGTTTAATGTAAAGGCCTTACAGCAGTGACAGCGACCATCCTGCTTTATACGCTCCACAATTACTGTCAAACTAATCAAAGCAAGGTCCCCGTCCTCCTTACGAGCCTGGTGTGGCTACACGCTCTGATGTATCCCATCATTGCTGAGTTTTGTGCTGAAGGAATTAAATGTTTCTGGTATATAATGCAAAGGCTTTTACACTACGGAGCCTCTGCATTTGCAGCCAACGATTCTGTACATGTTCAATTATTTAAGAATACTTAAAGCTATTTGTTTAAGAAAGCAGTCATATTGGTGCAAACTATTTTACTTCCAGCTCAAAGATTCAATATACCAGCTGTCACATTCAGTATATATATATATATATATATATATTTTATAAATCCAAAAACAAACTGAATCTAATCAGAAAATCACTAAAATGTATAATCTATTGTTATTATTACTGATGCATTATTATACACAAAGCCCTGAAAGCTGAAATGATGATGAGAGGATTCTTAAACATTTAGTGTTTCCTTCTGGGACTGAATATTGGTGGGTTCACCTTCAGCTCTGGGAAACTGATGAATCCATGAATAAATGTGAACAGAAGAAGTGAGCCTCACATTTCTGTGCTGAAGGTATGTGACTGCGTACGCTGAGGCACGATGGCTGTACGAGCGTTTGCCTTGTGGAGGTTTTTGCACGCGTGGGTTCAGCCCTGATTTGTTATCGAGCTCTTTTCCTGTTTAAACAATCTCATTTCCTCAAATGTTTTATGAGTGCAACATGTCGATCACATTCGTGTCTCATGAGCGTGAAGGCCGCTGACCACAAACTTTACAGACAAGAAGATACGTACCAGTGACATCGCTCTGGCCACCCTCTGACTGGCAATATGTCCCCAAAAGTCTCCCATCGCCGCTCTGCCCCAAACACAGCCGTCTGTGTCCAGCCTCCCTCCTCAGATTACAGAGAGCACTCGGGGAAACACAAAATGTCCACACCAAAAAACGGAGGGAAACTCTGTGGCGGTTTGAAACGCAGAGTAAAAGATAAATAAGTAAGAGTGAGCAGTGAGGCGAGGGTCTGCGAGTCGTCAGGGTTCAGTGTGTAAACACAGACACTGTGCAGCCAGCAGAGCCTCCGCTGTGACTCGTGTATTTATAGCCGAGCTGTTGCTTCACTGAGCGTCTGTCAGAGCGAGCTGCGAGCCTGGAAGTCTGCAAACACAGCAAGAAAACACACACGCAGACACACACACACACACAGACACACAACAGACACACACACAGACACAACAGACACACACAGACAACAACACACAACACACAACCACACACAGACACACACACACACACCACACACACACAAACACACACACACAGGGGGGGCGGCTTTTTCCTGCTCAGAAAATGTGATGATCGTCAAACAGACTGAACTCCTCAACTGCAGCCAGGTTCCTTACTGAACGCAGATCAGAGCACAGACACATGATCAGTCAGAACAAGGAAAGTTTACCACATCTTAACAGGGACAGTTCAGGGGGCTGCACAAATACACAAATCTAAAATGTTATATGACTATATGCGACATGCTAAACCAGTGGTTTGACTAGGGTCGCAAAGCTTCACGGGGAGTCTTGAGCGGCTTCCTGATTTTACGGGGTGAACAATATCTCAGCATTTTGTCACATTTTGGGGGAGGAAAAAAACACAATGCAGACTAGTGCTGAGCAATTTGATCGATCCTGCGATATATATCGATATTTTGTTCCCCAGAAAGGTATTGATTGTTTCAGCCGCGAGTATCGATACATTAAGTCCCAATCAAGTCCCCGTGTTCCGCCTGGCCACTCGCTCGCTGCCCGTATTCCCGTGTATCGCTTTGCAGGAAGAGCGATTGAGTCAGCCAGCCGCTAGTGTCGCTGTACAGCATTTCTAACAAGTTACCGTCTGATACTTCCCTTACACAGAGTCTTCTTCTTCCTGACCTTAAACTACTCGGCTGAGACATTTTGAAAGTTAAATGTTTAAATGTTCTTTAGTGACTGAATTATTGGCTGTTTTGAGAAGCCATGGTGCTGTGTTTACTGACCTGGGGTGTCTGACTGGCTCCCTCATATGTTCAGTTCAAAAGGAATCTGAATACAACAGGCCCACTTGCTGCACATCTCTCT